TATATATATATATATTTATATACATATATATGTATATATAGTGATGTATTTTGAGACACATTGAGGGATCACACGTTGAAACGTTGCAGCCTCGTTAAATTGTTACTTTTTTTTCTCGAAAGATGTATTTTGCCACACTTCGTACACATTAACGCCATAAATATCAACAATTCGCTATTCACAAATTGATGGATGTAACCGCTACTACGTGGTAGAAAATCACCATGAAAAATGAATATTGAAACTTTTTATGTTTTTTGCCACTTTTATTTGTAACTAACGTAACTGCAGTTTGATCCAGTTACTTCCGATATCCCACGTTGGTATCGAGGCTGAGGGCGACGTCCACCACGCCGAAGACCTAGGTTCGATTCTCATACTGATAACTTTTTCTAATTTAATTTCACTCAGCTGCCGAAGACCACGTGACTGGTGGTTGATAAGGTGGCCCGAGGGGTGAGGCGGAGTCCTAAGGATGGACTGGGTATCGGAGAGTATCTCCGATACTCATTCCATCCTTTTCTGCATCGATTATATTACACGTTTCTCTCTCCCACTCCCCTAAACACACCTACCTCGAGTTGGGTGTTTTCGATCGGATGTCATGAAAATTGCAAAAAGACTAGTTCCATAAGAAAAAACATGGGATTTTGGGCTCGTACCGGCCTTATTCATCTACTGATTCGAATTTCTTGCTGTACGCGCAGTAGCTTCTGATTGGTCGACTGTATAACAGCCAAAGTGGAGGAGTGAGCTCTGAAATTCTGAGGCGCAAATCACACAGAATGGACATCTGGCAGAGACGAGATGCGGACCTTTGTCCCTTCAAATCTGTGTGAACTGGGCCTGAAGTCCAAAAATCAACAGAATAGACCTGCTCAAATTTGCACGTGTTTTTCCATAAGAAATGAGCCAGAAGTCCTATAGATATGTTACTGAATTTTATATCAACAGACACAATACTTTGGGGTTACAAAATTGAATTCACTTACATTCATATTTACAATTAATCAACCTACAACTTATATTTGAACACGATTGTGTTTGTTTTGAAGTTTTCTACTGAATTTGACAAGAATGAATAAGCCCATCCAAGTGATGGGAATAATCACTCATTAACATTAGCACACACAGCAACGAAACTCCCCAAATAAATAGTGTCTCAACGCATATGTGTAAAGAAAGTAGATGTAACAAAACGTTTCGAAGTCATACGAACACATATAATATCTATTTGACATGCCATCGAGGTTTACAACCGGTACATTATAGAGAAAGAATCACATTCGGAAGGAATTCGAGGGACAACTTGTTGAGAACGCAACCAGCTTTGCTATAGATATTGGGAAGGTTGGACTGTTATCATTCTTCATTTATCAATCATGAAGTATTCAACAAACATCTACTGCAATACATAATCTTGTTATGTTTAACTATATAACCTAAAAGATTCTCGAAAAATACTTTTTGATCTCCAACACTGAACACTTGTATGACTCACATACAATGTATCTCAATTGAAACTAATGTCTTTCTATTTCAGTAAAAAAAATTGGTATGGATTTCAGTGATTTGTAAGAAGACACGATATTGAAGGTGTGTGAAGATACGGAAAAAATGCTACAGGAACTTTTCGAAAATATAGACTTGAAAACTGACGAATCTATGAAAAATGTGTTATTTTGTAGAATGTGTAATTTTCCAAACGACAGTTTTGTAAATATTCTGAGAAAAAACCCTCTTTGAATTATAATCTCTGAATTCATGACAATGTTTCAATCCCGCCACAGTCAATTCCGATAAATGAGTTACCTATAAAATCAACCAAAAGTGATCATCATCATAATCATCATGTCCGTATCAATAGAACATAAGTGTTACGAATGTGGTAGAGAAACAAATTACACTGGTTTATTATGTTTTCGTTGCCAAATTGATCAGATTGCACCTGATACATTTGGTATAAATCGCCTTTAATACTACTGATGTAGTTGTAGTAGTAATTGAACTGATCTCATCTCACAAATTTATAACATACTAACTTCAATAGTCGAAAACGTTAATACACCATACAAGGTGGAAAATGGTAGCTTTATATTATTGGAAGTACATCGAGATACGATTATTTTGAATGAATTCCAACTTTCTACACCAGAAGACCAATACCGTTATGCAACGTCAGTCAACAAATCTTTCTGATTATTTTTTTATTTACCAGATTCTTCAATAAAATGTGAGAAAGGAGAAAAAATGTAAGTGTGGATACGTTATTTACTCACACAAAAAATAATTTACCAGAAATTTGTTATGTATACTCATAGACATCATCGTTATTCAATAAAGACAAATATTCGAAAAGAAACCTCATACATTGTTAATATGAACCATTCAATGATACATTGTTGAAGTGTGGTAATAAGGTTCCTGAAGTCTTTTCGAAATAACTTCGTTGATATTCCTCAATTAAAAAAGAATATTGACGAATTGCGAATTATATTTTCCGGTTCATTTATATTATAATTATTCGTATTGAAACTTCGAAAAACAGCTTATTTCAATATTCATAATTACTAAATTGCCACAAAATGTGACTTCAAAGGTCAGCTTGTTTTCCAATTAACTACCAAATTCGTCACAACAAATTTAAAATCACGTTTTCACCTCAAAAAATAGCTCATTTCATAGTTCATTATCAGTAGAATACACCAAAATTAGCAATTATGTAAACAAACTACGACCTCAAAGGTCAAATTTATTTCCAATCCTCAATAAACAGCTCATTTCATCATTTATTATCAGTAAGATGTAACAAAATTAACAATAATGAGACCAAACTGCGACCCCAAAGATCAATAACAACCACATGCGTTACAACGAATATAATGTGGGCGGGGCGTGGCTCGAATGGTCTCTTTCGGAACACCCTCTAGGCAGAGGGGTAACCTGATAAGGCCGTTTTGACACTTCTCTCTCTTCTTCGGCCACCCCTTCTTGTCATTGATGACAATCTATACCAACAGGGTTGCCGAAGAAGTTACGTCATTCCATTGTCTTCTCTACCACCCTCAAGTTCGTTCATCAAAGCCTTTTTGGCACTTCTCTCTTCGTCGTCGACGAACATACCGTTCTGTTCGTTGACGACCTACAAGAACTAACAGGGGGACTTGAGTCATTCCTTTGTTCTCGGGGGTACATTCAAGACTTTTTGGCAAGTCATCACGTACCTACGTCATCTCTACAACTGAGAGTTGAGAGAACTCGATGGACTGTATCTAGAACCGCTATAGTTGCACTACTATCTTCGAACACTTGGATGGCAAAACTATTTATGAACTTCTGGCACAATCTTCCAGGATTGGCTCACTCCAAGGCGTTTATCTACCCTTCGAAGCTTGATACCAAATAGTTGTTGGACTACAGTAGGGATGAACTACGATGTCTAACAGGTCTTCTTACAGGTCACTGTCATTTGAATTATCATATGCAGAGATTTGGACTGTCGGAAGACAGTCTGTTTGGAAAATGATAAAACAGCAGAGCATATACTTTGTGTCTACCCCGCTGGGGACCGAATCAGGTTCTTAGAGTTCGGCATATCTGTACTCTCACCATCTGACCTGAAATACCACTCACCATACAAACTAATCGGCTTCGTTAAGAAGCGGGGTTCATTTAACTCTTGCGGGTTGCGGTGGAGGGTCGAAAAGACCTACTCACTTCAGACCTAGCCTAACCTACACTACTCTCATTTATTTTTCTATTAAGACTGCGCTTTGTTGAAGTGGCGATTGAAAAATGAATGTTTTAAGATTGTTTCTTTTCGAATTTGTTTTCAGAGAATAATGATGTTTCCAAACAATTTGAGGACGACAAAAAACAAATCATTATGTACAATACCTGAATGATTATAATTAAAATACCTATCATTACAGTTTGTAACCTCATTTTTGCGAATTCTGTTTGTCAATGGATATTTGATATTCAGCTGTGAAGAGAGTCAATAATGAAAATTTTTCCTGAAAGTGTTAAAGAGTTCTGAATTAGACGAAAGAAGAAATATTTTTCAATGATTCGATTCTATTTTACAGGCACTGAGAGAAAACTTGGTAACCTTACCGGAGAGGTGGAACTTACTGTTTCTGGATTTCCAATACAAATTATTTGACGCCTCTCTCATAACAAACAGACCTATGAATTTATTAACACTGGATACCGAACTTTGCTGTCAATTATTGAATCTCAACAGTGATTGTGATTGTCCCAATAACTTCAACGTTCTGAAAGAACTACTACGAATATCGATGAACCTTTTGGTTGTTACTCTCAAAAAATTCATGAAAGAAGACTTCCCATTCAATAATGACATCCAGTCTGATTTTAACACAACGAAATATGATGAAGATAACTTTAAACGTTTTGAAATGATTCTGGACAACGTTGTTGGCAAATTAAAGACAATTCGACTGGACAATTTTACACTACGGTTGCAAACTAGAGGTAACTCACTGTTGTCTTCAGCAGCCTAATTTAAATAAATTGAAATACGTTTTCATTATCTCATTCTATAATATAGGAGTTATTCTGATTTTCAATCCCAGTTTTGTGTTATATTAGGCTGCAAAAGAAATCATGCATGCATTATTATTATTTAGGAAGATAACATGTGATTTCCAGGAAAAATAGAAATTGCTACCAGTACGTCTACCAAAGTTATTGCACAGTACGAAAATGAAGCCATTAGACTTCCGGAACATGAAACCATGACACCAATCAAAGCATTCTACAGAATAGGTATAACTCATGTGAGTAGGTAATTATCAATCGGTTTCTACAATAGGTATTGATTTTAGAAAATACAATTCAATACGACAAACATATGAGGGCCATTCGAGTATATGTTTGGGGAGTCTTGTGAACTGGGAGAGATAGTTGAGTTGTGGCAATGTTTTGGGTACTATGAAACAATACAAGCCTCAGCTCTTTTCATTCCGAAATTATACAGAAAAAAAAACCAATTCTATGTTTGGCTGTATTTTATTTGTTGTCAGTAATTCTGAAAATCTTTTTGAATTTTCAATTATCTATCAGGATATGTTCCTCTAATTTTTTTACACAGGTTATTGTTCGACTCTGGCCACTTGTCCTCCAAAACTGTTTGGGGTGCTTGGGCTGGGGTGGTGCTCGTAGTCCAGCCGGGTACGCTAGACGTCGCTTTCCCACAATCCGTGTGCTTCGGTGTATACGGAGGCGTGTTCGCCAACACCGACTCCGCTGTCCACCTCGGCCACCGTTTCGTATCGTCGAGACGGCCGGCAGGGCCCAGGGATTTTGGGACTCAGCTTCTGTCTGAGCTCGACGGGAGGTTGTTTCGTTGCTCCGACTAGTTGATTGAATGCTGCTATCTGTTGTAGCAACCTCGCCCATCATGAGGGAATCCCCAAGGCCCTGCTGCCTTCAGGATACCCCCCTGGCATTCCACCTCCCCCTAGCGCTTCCGCTAGGGGATCAGTTGCTCCTTCTAGAGAGACGAGGGGCGCTCCTGTGCGCCGAACGTCTCCCTCCCAGGAACCTCTAAGAGTTTGGACCTGGAGGCGTCGCGACGCCTGGCGTTGGACGACCATCCCTGCTCCTCCATTTCTACGTTTAACGCCCGCCGGCGACCCATCGAAGATGCATCCCACGTTGGAGTATCCATCTTCCAGATACTTATTCTTTCCGAAACACCCTGTATTTTGGAAAGCCTCCTTTCTACGTTTTACGCCCGCCGGCGACCTGAAGATGTCTTCTTCACTTCCGAAATACTCCGTATTTCGGAAATTCTTTCTACGTTCAATGCCCGCCGGCGATTCCTCTCTGGAGAGTCCCTCGTTGCACTCGAAACGTCCAACGTCTCGAATGTGCTGGCTGCTCCTGCATGAACTCTTTGAGGTCGACAATGGCCTTGTAGTATCCAAATTTGCAAGTGGTACAGGGTGACTGTACACTCTGTACATGTTCACTTTTGGTGTTTCCACATAAGTGGCCAACACTTCCCGTTGTCTGAAAATCTCTAAGTTTTCAGACAGAATTGTCTTTCCTGGAGGGATTCCATCTTTCATATCTCCCTTCGCAACCGATCTTGGTATAGCGGGTTTCCTTGCTGCCTTCATCATCGCGCGGAGCCCTAACTGGGGCGCGCTCTGTGTTTGCGAAGTTTTTCCATTATTGGGAAGCTTCTCAGGAAACATCTCCTGATGTTCCCTGGCGACATTTTCCTCCTGGAAAATGCTATTCTGTTGGCTCGCTGGAGTTTTAAATTCCCTAATGCGGTTTAGCAAAATTTGAATTTCCGAATTATTACTGTGTTTTGAGTCCTTTGTGACAGTTCGGTGTTTCTATCTAAACGTCTTGCAGTGGAACCGAAAGTGCCGGGAATTTGTCGCTCTGCGACCACGGAAGAGGTACTAGTGTCCTCGTTGACAGAAATGTGTCGGTTAGCATGAGACATACTCAGACTAGATGTCTCAGCTGGAGCTCTTAGAATACTGTGTCCCACGAACACAGATCCCATTGGGATTCCTCGTCGTTCAGTCGAAGTCGCACAAGGGCGACTAAAATTGTCTGAAGAAGGATAGATTTGGTTGAAATGGGTGACCTCGCGATTTGGCACTGTCGTATCCATTGCAAGTTGCGCTCGCGCTTGTCTTGCCCTAGTCTGCATTTCCGTATTGAAAAGTCCCTAAAATGACTCTGACTTGGAGATAGGCAGAGGGTAGGATTAACGGAAAGCTAAGACTTTGAGTTCACTCTTGGATCGCGAAATTAATTCCCTAACCAAGACCTACAGAGTGAACTGAGCTAATAACAAAGGATCACGGAACCTAACTGATGAACCGCACCCTAGGATGAGGGCCATCCGCAGGAAGTGTGGATAAAAGGTATCGTAGTCCTGGAAGGTCCCAACGGTCACGTTGAGTCGATAGCCCAGAGGCTGATCTGATGATGGCTTGACTCCCCCGCTTTATTCTCGTTATACCAGGCCATTTAACACCGCAAAGTTAGCCTCAGTACCTGAGAGTGGGCAGCTTTAGTGGAGACGTACTTTTCCTTTGTAGGATTTTGGCCAAGCAGGAACCTGCACAGAGTAAGGTATGGTTGAGCAATAAGAAAATTGAAATCCAAAAACCAATCCTCAAAGCTCCTGAAAATCTCTAACGGGTCCTGAAAAGAACCAGAGATTTACCATCCAAGAAAATCCTCGACGTCCAGAACTAAGTCCAATTGACTTTCCTCGAACACCGGATCTAAGTCCAATTGACTTTCCTTGAACTCCGGATCTAAGTCCAATTGACTTCATAAGTCCAACCCTTAAGCGTCTCTAAAATAGTTCCAGCTGATTCTCTTTCCCCGGGACGTGCACCACAGTGAACGAATACTCTTATAGTAATAGGGCCCATCGAGTCAGTTTAGCTTTGGTGTCCTTAAATTTGTCCAATCAAGTTAGAGCCTTGGAGTCAGTGTTTAAGACAAAAGGCCTTTGCTCCAAGTAATGCCTGTAACGTTTAATGGCTCACACGATCGCTAAGCATTCTGCTTCGTTGACGTGGTATTTCAACTAAGCTCCCTTCAGCTTCGCGCTGGCACTTTACGGATTCCGTCCACCTCTTGGTATAGCACGGCCGCCACTCCAATTCCTGATGCATCTGTCTGCACGGTAAATGGTAACGACATGTCTGGACGTGCTAACACTATCGGTTCCGACGCTGCTTCCTTAATTCTCACGAAGGCTTCTTCTGCGGCTGCAGTCCACTGCATCTTGCCGTTCTTCAAGCTCTTCGTCTGCATCAGATCCGTTAGAGCCCCTTCCAGCTCTGCGAGCCTACGTATGAACTTCCTGAGCCATCCTACGACTCCAACGAATCCCCTCAGCTGCTTCAGGTCCTTTGGCCTTGGGTATTCTCGGATTGACAATACATGTTTTTCCATTGGCCTGTTCTCATTCTTGGTAACGACATGTCTCAAATACTCCAGTTTCCTCTGGGCAAAGTGACACTTGGCTAGACTACACCATAGTCCATGTGCTCTAAACCTTTCCAGTACCAATCGTAGATGGTACAGGTTCTCTTCCTCAGTCGCTGAATAGATGATGACATCGTCCAAGTAAACTTTGACAAATCGATCCACGTATCCTACCAGGACTTCCGTCATCAGATGTTGGAACGAACCTGGTGCGTTGCATCGTCCTAACGGCATCGAGTTGAACATATAACAGCCTCCCTCGGAAGTCGCAAACGCTGTATATGGCCTCGAACGTTCTTCCATTGGCACCTGCCAGTATCCCGATTTTAAGTTTAGGCTGGTGAATACTTTCGCCTTTCCTAGCTCTTTAATCGTCTCGTGGATGTTAGGCAATACCGATGCTTCTGGAATCGTTTGGCTGTTCAACTTCCTGTAGTACACACAAAATCTTGCAGTGCCATCCTTCTTAGTCACAATGACTACTGGGCTCTGGTATGGCGAGTTGCTCCTGCTGATCACTCCTGCCGCAAGCATTTTGTCTACTTCTTCCTAGATGAGTAGCTTCTTCTCGTCGCTTACTTTGTATGGATGTAGTCGGAACGGTGTGTCATCCTTCAGTCGTATCTGATGCTCTCCTGCTTTAGTAATTGGCTGCCTCGGTGATTCGTAGAACACATCTGCGAATTCCTCCAGCAGTCTTCTAAATTCTTCTGCTGCTGTCTCCGGTAATTGCTACAGAGACACTTCGGGAACTGGGTACTCTGCCTCCTGCCTCCTGCCTCCGACCAGATTTGCATTGCATTATTCTTTATATGAATCAATCTGTTGACGCAATCGAAAACAAGTGTTTATGGCCACATAATGACATCTAATGTACCTGAAAATAATGACCTTGAAATTTTAGTACATGTGAGAATTGGGTATGTTGACACGAAATGACATCACTGTGTTGATGTGCAGTGAACTGTGAAATGTCACTGGCTTCGGTGTGTAAAAGAAACCGAAGACCCCACAACTCACAACAGAGCGTGGTGTACTCACGACTATTTTGCGACAGATACGTGTGCCTGTATTTGTGTCCGTGTCTGTAAGAATGAAAGTATAATATTCAGAAGTCAAAAGATGCCATTATGACATCCGTAGAATTACTCAAAAGTGGTTCGAGAATTATCTAACAGGAAGAAGTCAGATTGTGAAAATATCATCATCCTCATCAGAAGGCGAAATAAAAAAGGCGTATCTCAAGGTTCAATACTGGGACCGATACTTTCTCTGCTATACATAAACGATTTAGTATCTATCGATATAGAAGAAAAATTTACCCCATTCGCCGATGACACCACAATATTATGGCGTGATAAAACTCTCATGTAATCTCCACGAGATTATGAGTGCAGAAATAAAAAAATTAATAAGTGGTGCGGCTCTAATCTTCTGGTTTTCAATGTTTCCAAAACTAATTTAATATCATTCCGCTTCTTTATTGACAGCATTCCTTTACCAACACAGGACGGGGACAGGATAATTGAAAACAGACCTGGTACTAAATTTTTGGGGGTAATAATTGACCATAACCTCAAATTCGCCAATCACATTGTAATCTTCAATAAAAAGCTAGCTTCAGGGTGTTTTGCAGTGAGAATAACTTATGAGGATCTTGGTTTGTCTGCCGCTAAATCGGTTCATTTCTCACTTGTTGAGTCGCATTCAAAGTATCGAATTCCTTTCTGGGGAGTTTGTTGCAAAACTCAAATACAAACGGTGTTCATTATTCAGAAAAGGGCTATAAGATTCATGTGCAATGCCAAAAATCGAGACTCCTGCTGGTTCCGTGGGAGATGACCGTTTTGGCGGGAGTTGGCCATTTTGGTTTCGTGGGAGATGACCGTTTTGGCGGGAGTTGACCAGTGAAGCGGAAAATGGAAAGTGGGGATGAGTGAAAGTACTCGAACGACCTATAAATAGTAATCTCTCGGAGGAATCAGTCCAGTCATCACCCGAAGACGATTGTAGATACTAACAATCGAAACGTCGTGAACTAACGTGACTTGGAATCTCTCCACTTTTTATTTTTATTTTCTTTTTTCTTTTTTTTGTTTCTATTTATTCAGTTGTTCTATTTTTACTTGTATTTTATTTCACTATTATTTCATTTCAGGTTCATTTTGGTTAATATAATTGTTATTTTCAGCTATTCATTTTAAATTTTTCTTTTTTAGTTGTTTCAGGGATTTCAAATCATTTCATATAGTAGACAATGGAAGTCCGAACTAGTGAAATTCATCATGAAACATTGTCAATCACCTTCAAACAAACGTTAAAAGTAGTTGTTACGAAAGTATTTTTTCTTTTATGTAATTCAATGCTAATATGAGAGCAGTTGTTTCGAAAGAGTTGTTTCTTTTAGTTTGTGTCTGAAATATACTTTTTTGCATGATCTACAAATTTTTGTAGGGAGTTCATTTCGAAATTGATTGCTTTCACCCTTTTTTGAAAGATTCTCACAACTTTTTGCATAGAGATGGAGAGGCGGAGAGCCAAATCTTTTGTTTGGTTGAATATAAATGTCACTACTCAATTACTGAAAGAAATTTTTTAATTTGCATAGTATCATTTAGTATTTCATTAGTCTTCTTTACTATGAAATATAACTGAAACACTTTCAAGACATCTTATTCATTTGACTAAGTAGTGAAAATTCAAAATTGACAGACATAAAACGAATTTTTCTCCAAATAATATTCGAAATTTCATAAGGAAATTGTTTCTTCTTAGAACTATCGTGAATATTGATTACACTGTACAAACCAAATTTTTCTTAGAGATGTGAAGTTATTTAAGAATATTCAGCAATGAATGCTCATCATGATAAAAATATATTTTCCTTTCATTTTTCATATATTGAGCTTTAAATGAAGTGTAAAACACTTTTTGATGAAATTAAAATATAATCATCTCCAGGAATAGTGTGCGTTTTAGGCATTGCCGTGGTCGTATAAAATGAAACATCCAGATACAGGAGAATGGGTTTGGACAGGGTATTGTGTGGATTTCGCAGAAAAACTTGCTAAGAAGATGAACTTTGAGTATGAATTCATCGAACCAACCAAAGGAACTTTCGGTAAAAAAGAAAATGGTATTTGGGATGGCGTTGTGGGTGACCTAGCATCAGGAGTGAGTAATATAAACGTAGTTAGTATATAACAACAGATTACTGTATTGATTTCAGCAAACTGATTTGGCAATTACTGCAATTATCATGACTGCTGATAGAGAAGAAGTTGTTGATTTTGTCGCACCTTATTTTGAACAATCTGGAATAACGATTGGTGAGTAAATTGTTGGCGAAATGATTTCTCATTCATTTATGAGAATGATCCCAATTTCAGTTATGCGGAAACCGGTGAAGAAAACTTCTCTCTTTAAATTCATGACTGTACTGAAATTGGAAGTATGGTTGAGTATTGTAGCTGCTTTGATTGTCACTGGATTTATGGTATGGTTTCTTGACAAATATTCACCTTATAGTGCTCGAAACAATAAAAAGGCTTATTTGTATCCATGCAGGTGAGTAGGATGGAAGCAACTCCATCAGCTTTCACACCCTACGAACGAGAACCCTTGAAAGTAGAAACTCATGAGAGCTAAAGATAACCGAGGTCTTACTCCTCAACGTGCGATTACTTGCATTATTCGACAGTATTAATTGAAATAAGTTCAAATGTTTTTTTTGCTGTCATCTGTCTGTTCTATATGAACGATAATCTTCAAAAGTACAAACTGCTGTTAGCTGAAGGATAACTGTGATGACCTAGGATATCACATCAACAGTCACGATAAATATAGGACCATTTCCGAAATGCTTGTTCGAAAATGGTGACTAATGTCGGATTCGGATATAAGTAGAAGAGCTTATGTTTCATTTTTTATAAATTCCGATTCTGAAAGTCGAAAATTTGAATTCAATCTCAAAATATTGCCTTCAATTTTGGAATTGCAATTTTGAAATTTCTGTGTCACATTAATCTTCAAATTTCGACTTTTATCTCATAATTCATACTTCTACTTTGAACGATCAGAGAGGCTATCGAATGTTACAGTCCATTTTCCCAGTAGTCTTATTATAGTTAAATTCCTGATAATAAGCGACTTATTTCCTTACGTTCTTAACTGAAGTTAATGAAATTACTATTCAATAATTTTCACTTCAAAAATATAATTATACATCTCCGTGTATATTATTCATTACTCTCCGTGCGAACTATCGAATACAATCTATATCCGCGCTACTAATCTACTCATTTAAGCTTAAATTAGGTAAGAATCTCGGAATTCGAGATACCCAGCTGTGAGTCTATAAATACTTGTATATTGACACCCTAAAAGTTGTCTCAAAACCTACATATGGTAGGGTAAATGAGATATTTCCAAAAAAGCGCAAAAAACCGATTTTTGTGACCTTTGACCTTGTAATTTAATAGTTGCTTACACCCTACCATATGTAGGTTCTGAGACAACTTTTATACAAGTATTTACAGAATTACAGCTGGGTATCTCGAATTCCGGGGTGAACTTACTATAATGATTGGACTATACGCATACCCTATTCCTTCGAATGAAAGGTGTGAATTCAACAAACACCGGGAAACGGTCAAGTGTTGTCTCTCTTCTCCACGTATCCTTCGAACAAATATTCAGTTCTTTCGAATAGATTTGTTAAGGAAGCGCGGAAGGGCCACATATTTTTATTATTTGTTTCTTGGAAATTACGACTTTGAATCTCAAAATTTCGAGTGTTATCTCGAAATTCCGACTTTAATCTCGTAATTTCGAAATTACGACTTAAAACTCGAAATGTCGACTTCAAACTCGAAATTTCGACTTTAATCTCGAAATTTCGACTTTAACCCCGAAATTTCGACTTTAATTTCGAAATTCCGACTTTTATTTCGAAATTTCGACTTTAATCTCGTAATTTCGAATTTACGACTTCAAACTCGAAATTTCCACTTCAAAGTCGAAATTTCGTAATTTTCAGAAAAATCATGCTTTGCGTTCTCCAGAAACGTCTAACCTATCACTGACCGTGAGTCACGCTGTATATATAAATATCTACAACAGTCATTCAAATTTTGTTTGCAGCCAATTCTTGTAAAACTGGCAAAATTCTACTGCTGTTAGAAATTTTCAGAGTAACACACACCTATTGATCATATTCAAACAAAATTTTTTGATGAATCACATCAGAAAAATGAAAATACAAATGATAACTTCATTTCAAGACATAGTGGCCCCAAGGTAAAGTGCCAGATAAATTGAGAATTGCTTTTCATGTGGACTCAAGCCTATTTTCACCTGCTTGATACTGAAAAAGTTGTGAGCGATTGATCGAATAATACACTGTTCACATTTTTTTTTTATTTCTGAGGCAATCGATATACCCTTTGAAATTAATTTTATTTTTGACTACATTGTACCGAATTTCCTTTGGTTTTTTGATAACTTTTTCACCCTGCACTTTGTAGGTGTACATTTCGGAACATAACTCTAAAAAAGTACATGACGATTTTACCATCTGCTTCATCTTTCTTCAACCCAGCAATTATTTCATTCACAAATGGAATTTGAAACGTATTATTGGGCGAATTATCGAGAGTATCGTAGTAGGTGCGTTTGAATGAGTTCTGATTAGACATCTTCACACGTTATTTCGTAGATGAATCTTTCAGTATACATCAACTTATGAATTTCTATACCTAGAGTGGGCACTATGAAATCATGATGGATATCAAACATTCATGTTTTTGAAATATCTAATGTTGCAAATTTCGTGTACAAAGGTTTATTGAATATAAGTTCAGTCTTTCTCAATTCAATAGCCACAAGGTCTCTATCGAAAAAGATTCGACTATGAAATCGGGGACATGCTATTCAATTTTTGACGCCAAAACGGCCGTTTTACGGCCGTTATGTGTAACCGGTTGTTTTCCATCGTTCTCTAAAAAATGTCGTATATACACTTTTCTCGAAAGAACTGTTGGCTGCAGTCCTTAGACGAGTATTCAACTCGATGTAGGGACGCAGCCACGCAGATTGTTTGAATTTCACAACCCGATGAATTTTTGTTAGAATAAAACTGTTTTCCAATGCTTGTTTCGAATTGCGATAGTGCAAAATATATTTGTCTTCATTATACAGAGTGCCCATTACAATTTTTTTGTTCGGAATTTGGTGCTGCTTGATGCTCTGGACAAAACGGAAAATCTTTATGTAAATCATGTAATCTCTCAAAATACTCTAAATCGACTTCCAATATGTAGCCTTCTGAAGCATTGTCGAGAATTTTAGTAACATCTCTGTCAAAATTTTCAACCCACTGGAAACCGTCGTGAGGTAAAAATCCTGGCGTTGCCCATCCATAGAAATTATTGACGTCTACCTACATATAAACGATATTTTGAAGGTTTTTCGGGATCATATGCTTACATATATTTATTATTCGCTTCGAAATATCTATTTGAACGAACCGACATACCGCTCCTTATCTTCTTTTCTACAAACATAATCATGTTAATGTCTTTTAAAATTTGTAATTAACATTTTGTATATTTCAATATGGCATCCCACGTGTACCCGTGCATAGTATAATACCACGCGGAATCCAACCCATGGGTTGCTATGCTTCTTTGACGAACATTTTCAAAAATGTCCGCCAATAATTAAATATCCATTTTCAAACATTTTGGGCGTGAGCATATTTTTCATTTGTTATGTATTCATCGTTATATTTACTATAGAATTTTCTTGTGATAGTAACTGGGTATCGTTCAATTTTTCCATTTTATCTAACATAATCATAAGAAAATACCCCCTTCTTGGTGAATTGTATAGCTTTTTGGCAATATAATCTAAATAATAATCTTCGATGAGTAAAAGATATTTATCAATTACCGACATCGATTTTGGAAAACCAATCATTTGGATTTAATTCATTGACATGACTCACCGATATTTTGTTCACAAATGAAATTTTTGGTGCGATGCTCTAGAGTCGATTTTAGAAGCTGTTGAGATGGATGTGCAAGCTGCTGAGATTTGAAGCTCGTTCTGTGAAGACTGCTGAGATGGCTCTGAAATTGCTAAAGTTCGTTCTGCAAGGGTTGCTAAGATGGTTTCGGATGTTGTTATTGTTGAGCTGACTCTGAACTATCGATACTGCACACGTTGATGATTGTTCTGGAATAACTTTGATTTTCAATACAAAAATACACCAAAAATAATTTTTCAAGAATGCAGGTAATGTCTCTCATGAAGTGATTGAGAAAATGAAAAAAAGTCAACTGTCATTCAAAACACATATTTCTTATGTACTAGTTAGAGAAAAAGTATGAAAACATGCGGATCATATCTATGAATGAAAATTTTTAGTCGAACAAAAAATATTGTATTCAACCATAAACTTTTCGCATATTGAACTAAGAAAAAGTGGAAAACAATACTTACTTCAATTTCGCACAATTTCAAATGAAACAACACGATTCGGTTTCCAATATCCATCAACTCTTTGAACATAACAGCGTATTTTCCTGATGTCTCATCCAAATCCAACAACACCGCCTCACCAAATTTGCCTCTCATGATTTTGGCTGCCAATATCCTCTGCGGCGTCTTCACAGGCAAATCTGCTACTTTGATAATTGACTTTCTCTCCACGACCGAAGTTGCATTCAATTTAAGTAAATCGGCCGGTGAAAAACAAAGAAAAAGTTTATGTTTTAAATTACAAATTATACGAACACTCCCTCAACATATCGTTTCATTCAACTTAAAAGATGACCACAAAACGAGCTTGTGGTCACAACATTACAAATGCTTTTTTTTTTGATTGATTCGGCAGTTACTTAATGAAGATCCATACTAATTTCATAAACTACACCTCATGATTTGATCATCATAAATTTTGTTTGTCGAGATCAAATCGTGAGGTGTAGTTTATGTAATTACAAATGTTTATATAGAAACGCAATGGCATTGTCAAAGGCAAATAGATAAAATACGAGAAAAATCCTTATTCTGTTCAGTTAATTCTCGAGTAAAATTCATAGTTTCATTTGAAACATTGACAACCACCTTCAAACAAATATATTTCCCGGTTACGAGGTTGTCTTCTGAGAAAACATCAAAACAAATTATACGTCACAATTATTCACAGTAAGAGATAATATTTGAGAAAAAATAGATATCAGCAATTACCGGTTCTTATATTTTCTTCATTGTTAAAGATTTAGTTCTAGAAAAAAAGAATCAGTTTCGTGGTGGCCGTGGTAGTGGATGGACGTGCTGATAACGTCCGTCCACAAAGAAGGTACGCGGATGCCATGTGCTATCGTGGAGCTCCATTTTATGTTGTATTGTGTTGAATATTGAAATGTGGTTAATAAATATCGTTTAAGTGTTTCTAAATAAATAGTGCTCTTATTCACGCCGGTTGGAGGCCGGGGTAGACCGGATGTCCACGTGGGAGTAGGATTGCAATCATTTTATATATCAAAAGTTCTTCCGAGCAG